GATATAGTTTTTATAATTATATATGTGCATAAAATAAAATAAAATGAATAACTTTTAACTACAATTATAACCCAACAATAATTCTTGAATCTTTGAATTTTTTCAATTTTAATAATTAAAGAATTATATTGCTAAATTGCATATAAAGTATTTAAAATTCTTAATTTTTCATTAATTAAAAAACAGTTTTTTGGTTATCTGAAAAATTACGATAAAATAAAAAAAATTTCTGAAAATTTTTATTGGCGGGCAGGGCACTTGCCCTCTCTTATGCCCATGCCCAACGCTACACTTGCAGTCAGATGCAGATAGTTATAGATTTTATTTGTATTTGTATTCGTTGCTAAAAGATGGCAACACTATGGGGGCAGAAAAAAATGTCATTTTAAAAAAAATCTCACTTTTTTTTAATAACAGAACATTTCCGAGGTTTAAGGCATTAAAACAAACATATTATGCGTTTAACTCTCCTTATAAATTTTCTCAAATTAAAAAATTGCAAATTGACAGTGTAATTTCTCGCTATTTAGCCTTTAGAATATTTATAGTCATTACTGTTATTGAAATTACCTGAATTAAAAAAATAAACAAATATACCTTTCTAATTACTATAAATGTCTTTTCCCTACAATTAAATGTGATTATAAGAAATTCTTTTATACTAAAATCATGTGATAAACTGGTCTAATTTTAAAGTAAATTCAGCAGATTAAATAGAAATTCATAGCAAGGAGAAATACCATTTAACTTGCTACAAAATCTTATTTTTAGAAAAAGCGGGTTTATTAAGTTTTATACATTTTTATTCCATTTATTACAAATTTCAGGACTTAAGAAAATTGTCTTTAATACCTGTACATCACTCGGGGAAAAATCAACAAACACAATGGGCTTATTTACTTATTTATTTTTCACATTTTTAAAAAAAATACTGTGCAGGTTGAATTTGTAATTCAAGCCTGTTCGTATCATGCAATAAAAAAAAGTCTGTTCAATTGTTTCTGCTAATTATGCTTAAAACTGCAGAAACGGATACTCAAATTTCAAATTCTTCGTTTTTGACGAAACCGTTTCTGGTATACGCTCGCAGCGAACATTTCGTCAAAGTGACGAAATAGCTATCGTCATTTCTACAAGAGAACGAATTTCGTCAATAGTAAAAAAAATATTTCATCATTCTATTTTTTCAAGAAAGTAAATGAATAAAATATTCGTAGGGCCTAATAATAAATAAATCTAACTTAACACCAAGGGCGGGATTCGAACCCGCGATCTTCCTGGTACGAGATCGAATCATTGAGCACCATACAACCGCTCAGCTTGTTGACTTACTTTATTTTTGATCGTATCGTCTTCACTCTAGTTTCGTCATTCCAGTTAAAAATCTCTCAGAATGCACCACGTTGAGGTTTCTAGTTGAGGAAATGTTTTCATCATATATTTCAGAGTTCCCATTTCGTCACAAATCACGTGTTTTCGCGCAAATGGTTCTCAAAATTAACGAAATCTATCTCAAGGATTGCTGATTCGTCAAAAGCGTGACTTTAATTTCTCAGAGTGTGTCATGCATACTCGCTAGATTTGCGAATTCCAATACATAACCGTGCAGTCATTTCGAAAACTTAGCGGGTATATTTAAAAATTGTTTTTTTTTTTAAACAAAAACTTACGGAGTTCTTCGTAATTCAAAAAATAATACAAAAATTCGAGAAAAAATGCATAAAAATTCATGATTATGAGAAGTGTCTTTTGATTATTATATAATTTGGTAGTCACCTATAGAAATCAAGACTAGTGAAAATAATTCAATAGAAATGTTGAAAAAATTTAAAAAGTCTTTAGCACTTTTTCTGAAATTTTTGAAGTTAGATTGAATAATAAGGGCTGTTTTCTTATTCGTAAATTCTTCTTTATCACAAAAAACAGAGATACATTAAAAATCAAATAAACGTTACTATTTGATATGTTACTGTAAAAGTCCGAAATCTAGTAAATCCTAGGTTTTATCATCACAACTTAGGATTAAAGGCAAGCATACTGGGCAAGTGAATATCGAGCAATAGCACTTAACTTTTACGAAAACATCAGCATAGAGCAGGGATGGGCAAACTACGGCCCGCGGGCCAACTGTGGCCCGCTGGAAGATTTTATCCGGCCCGCGGACCGAATTTTAACTTTTTACTTTCTTTATTTTTGTTCTACAAAACATAAATTAATTAAAATAGTTAGCATTAACAGCTTCAATTGATAAAATGTTGAAAGCAAAAGTCCCTTATAGAATAGCCGTAGATTAGCTCCAACTAGTATTTGTCTTTCTCGAGGAGCAGACATATGGAATCTAATATAGGTGAATTGTACTTCACATGAGGCTTACTACGCATTTTAAGTTCCAATGAGCGGATTTTTCTTCCGGCGTGAGTTCTAACATTATTTACTGCGCATGGAAAGGCTGCACACATACAACGTCATTGTAAATAATGGTGAAATTATTAAATGTATGAAATGGCTACTGCCTTTTTGAGTTATTTGTAAACATTTTTAATCCCAAAATGGCAACTAAAAA